ATGAGCCGTTTTGAAAAGGATTTAGAAAATGAGCTCGAATATTTTCCCAGAGTTTGGTTAAGGTATGTGGATGACATTTTTGTCATTTTTGATCTTAATAAATGTACCATTGAGCATTTCCTCGAAATTTTAAACAACCGCTTTCAAAGTATTAATTTCACTTGTGAAAAAGAAGTAGAAGGAAAGTTACCATTTTTAGATACTTTAGTAATTAGAACTAATAACGTATTAGAATTTGATATTTATAGGAAGAACACTAGTACACTTCGCTATATCATCGCTGATTCACATCATTGTCCTCAACATAAAATGGCGAGTTTTAATTTTTTAATTCACAGACTTGTTAATTTTCCCTTGACTCATGCAAGGTTTGAAAAAGAGCTCAAAATTATTAAAGATGCAGCGAAATATAACGGTTTTGATGTTAACATAATTAACAAAATGATTCAAAAAGTTAAATATAGAAAAATGGTCAATAATTCCACGACTTTTACAAACACACCAAAAAAAACACAATTTATAACTCTACCTTATACTCCCTCAATCACAAGAGGTTTGAGTAAAATTTTCAAAAATCTTGACTACCAAGTTGTTTACAACTCTGGTATAAGTCTCAAAAGTTTTCTTGGTAATCCTAAAGATAAAYTAGGACCATTAGAAAAATCGGGGATTTATGAAATTAATTGTAAAGATTGTGAACAAAAATATATTGGGCAAACACGTCGTTCAGTTAACACTAGGTTTAAAGAACACATAGCTCATTTAAGATATAACAGAATTGAAAAATCAAGTGTGGCCCAACATATTTTTGAAAAAGACCATAAAATCGATGAAACTAATGTTAAAATTATTAGAGTAGTCAATAATTGTAAATTTCTTGACGCTGTCTTGAAATATTTAAAAATAGAGATAATCTCATGAATTCAGACAACGGCCCCATTCCCTTTTCTCCCCTCTACTCGTTAGTTGAGGGTAGGGAAAGTGAAAGTCGGAAAATTAGTATATAAGGCATTACCATTGTTAAATTAGTTAGTTTTATTCTCACCTGAGGATGACCACTTTGTGGTTGAAACGCGTCGTGCTATTAAAATAAAAGTTTGGTGTGACGGGCAATCGTGTATTTGTTCAAAAAATTTTGACATTTGACATTTTTTTATATCTATTTAAGGATACTGATGATCTTGTTTATGTTTTTTTTACAATTATTTAGTAAAGAGACAAAAATTTTGCCAATAATTTAGGATACAGCTTCCTTGTTTCCTTTTCTAATAGCCTGTAGCAAAAAACTTGGAAAATTATTTTTCCAACAGAAATAAATAGTCAAAGTGCAAACTTTAAACCCTCATCACTTCGAAATTTTTATAGATAAATTTTTTTTAACATTTTTTCCATGTTCCTGGTATCTTACCTTATATGGCATTTTTCTCTGGGGCGCGAGTTCTGGCGCACCCTGTATAGTATAGAGCCCACCATTGACGTGTGTCAACAACATCGTATTTTCCCCTTCGGTCACGAAACCATCATCATCATCATCCCTTTTCATTTTTTAATTGTGTCATTATTCGACGCAAATAACGGACAGGTGTCTTCATTAGTCATTCAAGCAACCCGCAATGTTACATCGGTAGTGTTTTGTTTGGTTTGGTGGCACGCAAAGGTCACTTGGATCACGCGACGACGACGCGATTCCAAACAAGATGACAACGCACCTAATTGGAGGGTAGCTAATCAGGACGATAATTAGTGAGCAAACACGTAAATGTTTATTTTGATAATTGGAGGGGTTTTTTACACGAAATCGGAGGGTTTTTCGATTGTTTTCGTTTAATTCGGACTCGATAACCAACGTAAATAACAGCTGACGATCGAATCATTTTTTCCTAATTGGAAACATTACCGTTTCCTCAATCCAAGGGTTGAAAAAGGAAATTGACACTTTTCAAAATTATACACCCCCGACTCGAATTGATGTTGGTGTTCCGTCTAAACCCCACATTAAAAGTATTG